ACATCAAAAATAAAGACTAGTAAGGCAATTTAGAACCACACATTTATTTAACAAAAAGAATATCTCGCGTTTATCGGAATTACGCTTAACGACTCTTTTCAGAGCCACAAAAAATATTTTACAGAGTCACATTAAACACTTCTTGTCAAAACCATAAATATATCTTTGACAGAAGAACATTTTTGAGCTCAACCCTATAAAATAAAATCTAGCGTAACTGCTTCAAAATGATATAAAATAATTGTTTGTGTCATTTTTCTTATTTTTTCATGCACATATACACATAAATTTGTTAGTATCATTATTTTATTAAATTTTTAAATACATATACAACTATATTGTATATGTATATATTTATATATAAACATAACTATTATAATATTGCCTTACTAGTTTTTATTTTTGATGTTTCAAAGAAAATTTAACGTTAATTATACAAATCTATTATAGTGTTTTATTTTTTATTCCTAATATTTAAATAATGTTTAAAAATATTTTAATNATTACTATGACATTTATCTGTTGTCATGGGTTTTTACTCTCTTACTTAAATATATTTTACTTTCTTACACTTACCGTAAGTTTCTTATATCACGTTTCTTATATTACGCAATAATTAAATAAGTAAATATTTTATATAAATTATTAAAGTCACACACTTTTAATGCAGAGTTACTCTTTTCAATGTTCACGATAGTTTTATGATAACATATGTCTGTCGGTATTATTGGTAACCGCGTCGGTATGTATCATCGGTAACTGTGCCGATATATGGATTAAATCTCGGGCCGCTGGCGCGTGGTAGTAGGAGGCGGCCGAAGGAGAACTACTTCTCCTCACGGCGCACGATATGGTGCTCCGCACTGTACGTGTGTGTGGTGTGAGGTTGCTAAGTGTATTTCTTCTTAAGGAGCGTGTTGAGTTTCATATGTGAGTGTCTGTAAAAGTGTGACTTAACGTGTGTGTATGTGTGTGTGAACGGTATGAGTGTTGGCGGTGTGTATGGGTCCTTATTGAGTATGTTAATGTGTGTTTGTAGACGTGTAATGTGTATGTGTTCTTTAAGGGTGTTTGTTTGTATGTTTGGGAAGTACTAGTGTGTGTGAATGCTGTATGATAGTTTTTAACCCTTAAGTGTTATGTTTTTGTGTACGTGTAGTGTAAAGTCAAAATGCCCCTTAATGGATGATATTCTGTGTGTGTACTGTCTGTGCGCGTATGTGTGGAATGGCGTGTGATTGGACTCTTAAGAGGTGTGTTTGTGAGTATTTATATGGAACGTGTGTGTTACGTGTGTTGATTGTGTGTTGGAGAGCGAGTAAGTGTTTGTGTAACATGTCACGTGTGTAGTGTCCCTTAAAAACGTGTGAGTTAAAAAAATGTCCTTTTTCTTTGCAAACTAAAATAAAAATTAACGTTAACTTTTACTTTTTCCAGGGTCGCACGCCTGTACGCGGTCCAGCTACGCACACCCAATTACTTAAGTAAGTATTTTATATATCCAAGTTTAGAAAAACATGTTAATTATAACCAATGAGTGAATATAAGGCCTTACGAGCCGTTCTCAAAGTGTTGAGCGAGAACTTATACATGTATATATATATGTATACACATGTAACGAATTCACTTGTAAATTTTTACAAGTGAGTTTTTCGAATTGAATTCTCAATTCTTAAAATCATACGGGATGCTAGATTTGCATCTCACATATGAAAGACCCCGGATTCCCCCCTAACTAATTATTAAAATATTGCGAAAAAAACTCCTCGGCCAGGAGTCGAACCTGGAATCTCCGGCTTACCGTGCCATAGAGTACCGGAGATTCCAGGTTCGACTCCTGGCCGAGGAGTTTTTTTCGCAATATTTTAATAATTAGTTAGGGGGGAATCCGGGGTCTTTCATATGTGAGATGCAAATCCAGCATCCCGTGAATTTAAGAATTGAGATTTCAATTCAAAAAACACTCACTTGTAAAAATTTACAAGTGAATTCGTTACATGTGTATACATATATATATATACATGTATAAGTTCTCGCTCAACACTTTGAGAACGGCTCGTAAGGCCTTATATTCACTCATTGGTGTAAATTTCACGAGCCTTAAGTCTTTATTAATGTTAATTATAATTATATAAGAATAAACACTTAATAATATGTAATTAGAAATGATAGTTAACAAGATAAAACACAGTTACATGTCGCTTAATACTAATACAAAGTTATGCTTAATGTACACGCACACATAAAAAAAATCACTAAACAAAATTAAAATTACCCGTAGCTCATTTGGCCCTTATAACCTAACCTAACTAAAACAGAGTTTTTTGCGTGTTTCAATTTTACAGTCTTTGATGCGTCGCCTCAACGCTGGTTGTCGTCCGTCTCCTCTTTTCCGTACTGCCACCTCGGTCTCCTTAGTTGCCTTCGGGATACCGGGTGACAAGGTTGTGACCGGACGATGCAGCACGCGTGCGCTTACCATATCCCTGGAAACGTGTTCTGGGGATTGAGGTAGTGTATGTTAGGGTCTCTTCTCGGCGTAGGAAAATAGGGGGAGAAAATCGGGATGGAGGCCTCTCTATAGATGGAGACGAAGCTTGTATCACTTTTTCTCGGGCGAGTTTTCTCCATCTTGTCGTGGTGCCTAAGCTTGCGCGCTGCGAGGATCTAAGGAGCTATGCCGACGGGAACTTTGGTTCCTGGCAGGGTCTCCCTTGCCGGACAAGTTCTTGATGAGCAGCCAGACTAAGAGGGGAAATAGAGGAAGGAAAATCCCGACAGAAAACCCGGGCAGGCTGGGTTCGTTAGCCAAGTTACAGCAACCGGCCTAGGACACACCAAAATCAAACCAGCCTTATTTAAAACATGAGAATGTCAGATAAAGAAGAGTAGTCATTACCGGATCAGGTCGATCAGACGGCCAGATCCTGGCACGCGGAGGATATCGTTCCGGTTCCCCGCGCGTCGTAATCCAACGACGGGCTTGGCGTCTCCTGCACCGCAGGGGAGGCGTCAGACAATGCGTCTGCGAAGGCCTGTGACTCTCAGTCGCAGGCGATAGAGGTAGAGAGTCTTCCCGGCTCTCCTGTGCTTTGGGGGAGCGAGGACAGCCCGATTATTTGGACTCATTGTTGCTTGCCAGTTGGCGTCAAGGGGCGCATTGTAGTTGAGTCCACTGACGATAAAGAAGAGGAGACAGCGGCCGATTACACAGTCGCAGGCCCGTCCGGTTGGCCGGTCTGTGACAGCCTCTGGGCTCCTTTGCCGCAGCTCTGATGAAGCCGACAGCGACATCGGAGTATTATCAAGAAAACCGAAGAGTGTATCAACCACCGACACGAAGCCGCGTTTCTCTGTCTCCTCGCAGAAACGAGAGTTTGTTGCCGGAGTTTCGGTCGAGGGAAGCGACGGCCCTTTGACTCCAAAGGTCCAGCGCGAGGGTGTTCCGAGTCCTTCGTTGGAAGAGACAAAGCGGCCGCAACTGCGGTCTCGGCCGCCGAACAATTGCGGCCGTAAATACACCCGGAAGAAAGTGCCTTTTGCTACCGCTAAGCCCCGAAAGAGGGGCAGGCCTTATTCTACGGGCCAAAAGTGGGCCTTCAGAAGACTTACCGCGAGCTAAAGGAGGGGCGTGACCGCGCTGATGAGCAACAAGCGGAGGAAGAATTGGTTGTAGATCCCGAGGCAACCCGCATGCCTACGCGGTCTACCGCTACGTCACTCACTGCGGCTTCCGGCCGAGCGGCGGCGGCGGACTGCAGTGCGAAGGTCCCAACCGAACCGATATCCCGAGATCTTTTGACACACCGTGCCCTCGAACTGATGGTCAAGTGGGCGGCATCGGTGAGAGCAATGGCGGCGTCCTCAAAAAACTTAAAAGGGACCTACATGCTGGGCCTAAGAGTGTCCGCCGACAGACTGGAAGAGACCGTCCGTCTTCTGGCCGAGAGGGTGCAGAGTGGGAGGCACGACCGCTCCCTCGTTGAACGTCTCCGCACGGTGAAGGACCGTTTGACTCGAGAGGTCGCCGATATGCGGGACGAGGTGACGAGTTTTCGCGCTGCCTGCGACTCTGCGAAAGAAAGGTCTTGCGGGTTAAACGCGAAAACAGAACGCTCAAAGGCGAGATGGCGGGGATGCAGAAGGACTTCAAGGCTCTCCGCCGCAAGTTGCAAACCCTCCGATCTGCCGGCATCGTTAAGCGGTTTGCTCGGTCGCGCAAAAACGACCGCTCCCCACCGGCTCCGCTGTTGCCGGAACCGCTCCCGCAACGTTCGCCGCGGTCTCGGCGCGTGAGAGACTCTGCACCCGACGCGAATATGGAACCAACTCTCCGTTGCGAGGATTCCTCACCTTTACCGGGAGAAGAGGATGGAGGACCAAAGTCCCTCAAAGCTTGGAGAGTCGCGTGATAGATGCGAAGCGCAGCCAGCTCTCATTATTTCGGGAGCAGCTCCATCACCGGCTCTCCCGTCCATCTTTGGGCGCCGACGGGCGTAAGAGAGGCCTCACGGTTCCGACCCGAGGCGAGGGCGCCGCTATCGGGGGAACAAAAGCAAAGAATAACACCGTTGCCGTAGTCGTCCCCTCCGGCAAAGACTCCTCTTTTTCCGACAACCGGAAGAAAAAGAAAAAGAAGAAGAAGAAGAAAGAAAAGACTGGGGAACAAACGGGGGACAAAAGGCCGGACAAGCTGACACAGCTCCTCCGGCACCAAGCCAACCTTTTTCCTCTTCCCGTTCTCCCTCCGGACAGCAACCTCTTCCAGCTCCACCAAAAGAGACATGATCCTAAGTGGTGGGGAAAAAGAAAAAGGAGAAACGGACGCATGGTTCACCGACTCCTGCATCTAATGCTCCCTCCCCCGTGCGGGCAAGGGCGGTAAACCCGCTTCAAGCGTCAAGCCCTAACTTAAGGTGGGAAAGCTTCCTCGATCCGCGACCATTACATTGTCTCCCCTCACCGGCTCCGGTGCGAACGTTGGGGAGGCGCTGGTCAAGATGAGGAGGCAGATAAATTTGTCGGACTTTGGTATCACCGAAGTCCGACCAAAAAGGGCCGTCACCGGGGCCTTCATCAATGAGATCCTCGGTAAAAACAGCAAGGCCAGGCTTTATGCCGCCATGTCCACTTTGGCGGACGAATTTGGGATGAAAGGCCTTCGGATCAAAGGCCTTGATGACTCAATCACCCCAGATGAAATGAGAGACGCTGTGGTAGCTATTGGAAGTTGTCGGCCGACCAAAGTAAAGGTCGGCCAAGTTTACGCTTCCCCCAATAAATTATTCACAGCATGGGTCCAGTGTCCGATTGCTGCGGCAAAGAAGGTCACGGACACTGGATTCTTGAGAGTAGGGTAAGGGACGAGCGCCGGTAGAGGTTCTAGACCGCCGGTCCTTACAGTGCCACCGATGCCTTCGGCGAGGGCACGTCATGGCAACGTGCACTTACTTACCTCGCCGGATGAGGACAAGAAGGGCCGATGCTACCAGTGCGGTGACCGTAGCCACCGGGTCGCGGAGTGCAAATCGGCACCGAAGTGTTTGCTATGCGCCGACCTTGGTCGCTCCGCGGCCCACAGATTAAGCGGTAAGGCCTGTGCCCCAATTCCCCGTAAGGGAAAACAAAGGGCGCAGAAGGCCGCCGCTGAAGGCAGACCACAGCCCGCCTCTAAGAAAGTCCCAGCTGCTGTCCCGGGGACATCGGCGGCAGCGGAGGGGACTAGCCAGCCCCCCACCGGTAGTGCTCTGGAGGAGGAAATGGAGGTGGAGGAGCCACTCACTCAGTAATGCCTGTCTTTCTCCAGAGTAACATGGATCATTCGCGCGGGGCCCAGGATCTTATGATCCAAAGCCTCGCGGAGTTAAACGGAGTTGTCGCGGTCGTGGCAGAGCCCTACAACCGTCGTGGTCGGAGTCGGAAGACGGCTCTGTCACGACATAATTCCGTGAGAAGGTTGGTTCTGAGTCCTCTGTCTTTTCTCCTCTGGAAAAAGGCAGGGAGCTCGTGATGATCGAGTGGGGGAAACTTGTGGTTGTGGAGGTCTATTTCTCGCCAACAAGGCCCTTTCCCAAGTTTGAAGCGCTCTTGGACGAGCTGAGTCGGGTTGCTCGCCGATACTCGGCTTGTCCAGTGCTGATCCTGGGGGACTTCAACTCCAAGTCGATGACTTGGGCTTCCCCCAGAACGGACGCGAGAGGAAGGGCTCTAGAGAACTGCGCGGCAGCCTGTGGGCTCGTCGTGTCGACCGGGGCTCACAGCACACGTGCGTCAGGCGCAACGGGGAGTTCATTGTGGACCTGACTTTTGCCTCCCCGAGCGCCGTCCGCCGTGTGTCCAAATAGAAAGTCAGGGACGACATGGAGACCCTATCAGATCATCGGTACATTACGATGAGTATCTCCGTATTCCCTGATCGCTTTCGGGGCTACCGTAAGGGTAGAAGACCCCTGTCCCAGAGATGAGTCCTCAAGAAATCGGACCCACAACTCCTGTCCGCCGCTGCTCAGGTTGCGGCTTGGCCAAGTCCACCGGCCGAGCTACACGACTTCCGGGCAAAACTTCGGTAGTTCCGGGAGACGCTGGCTATTTGCGACACAGCAATGCTGCGCTCCCATGGCTCGCCGAACCAAAGGTCGGTGTATTAGTGGACGGATTAAATAGCCTCTCTAAGAGTGGTGTGCCTCCGGTCCAGAAACCAGTACATCCGCGCCCGTCGCCAAAGAACTGGCGACGTGGCAGCGCGAGCAGCGGAGGCGTACAAAGGATACCGCGAAACACGCAGAGCCCTTTGTATTGCCATAAGCCAGGCAAAGTCCAAAGCGTGGTCCGAGCTTCTCAAGACCCTTGACGCTGATTCGTGAGGGCGCCCATACAGGCTTGTCATGGACAAGCTGCGGCCGTGGACGCTTCCGATCACTGAGAGTCTTGACCCCCAGCTCCTGGAGAGGGTTGTCTTCACCCTGTTACTTGACGGGAGGGGTGACTGGCCCTCCCAAGAACCAGAGTTGAAACCGGTAGAATGGTCCACCCAACTGGGGGTCACGCAAGAAGAGCTACACCGGACCATCTATTGGATGACGCGCAAGAACACCGCACCCGGTCCCGATGGCGTGCCCGATAAAGTGCTGGGCTTTGTCTTTGGACAGGAGTCCCTGGGAGCCCGTCTCATGCAGATCTCTACCACCTGCCTGAGGACGGGATGGTTCCCTCCTGAGTGGAACAGGGCAAACCTGGTCTTCTTCCAAAAAGGGGGTAGACCGGCGGACTCTCCGTTCGCGTACCGGCCGATATGTCTGCTTGATGAGGCGGGTAACCTCTTAGAGCGCGTTATCGCTAACCGCCTCACCGAGCACCTGTCGCGGGTGGGTCCTGACCTGGCCGACTGCCAGTTTGGGTTCCGTGAGGGAAAATCGACGGTGGATGCGATCTTGTCCCTCACGGACGTGTCAGACAGGCAGGGAGGAGGGCGTTGGCGGTGTCGCTAGACATATCCAACGCCTTTAACTCCCTTTCCTGGGACAGCATAGGGTGGGCGCTTAATTGCCACGGTGTCTCACTCTATCTGAGAAGATTCTTCGGTGACTATTTCTGCAGCAGGGAAATAAGATATACCGGCCGGTACGGATTGCCGCACAGGAGAGAAATGTTCCGCGGGGTTCCATAGGGGTCAGTCTTGGGCCCATTACTGTGGAACCTCAAGTACAACGCGGTGATCCAGGCCGCCTTGCCCAGGGGCCTGGGTGTCATCTGCTACGCGGATGACACTCTCGTAGTAGCCTCTGGGAGCGACCGGAGGAAGGCCAGAATCTTGGCGGAAATACGCACTAACTGTGGTGTCGGCCGAATCGAAAAACTGGGTCGTAAGAGGATACTGGATACCGACTATAGAGACCTGTAAACCGACATTTTTAATATTTTGTTTTGAGCCGTATTTACTACATCAAATCCAAAATGCTTCTACAGAAATAAGTAAATTATGTTAAGAGTTTGCTGTTGTTCTTTAAAATGTCAAATTTCAGCGTCAATTTTTTCTTATACAATTTCCTTTTATAACTTTATCATATCATCATGTATATAAAATTATTTCTAAGTTTATGTACGTATTTACACTGAACTACAGCAATACGTACGACACAAAACAATTTAATAAAACACTCAGAATATGAGTTGGTTATCTAATTGATGCACAAAAAGTAATATTGTGATGATGTGTATCTGCTACCATATACTATCACTGTTTCTGTAAAAAACAACACTATGTAGTTTACAAATATCCCGATAGAAAGTGCTGCACTATGACGCGTGCGCATATGACCATTATGCATGTGTATATCTGTCATGCTACATGACAGATCTTCTAACCCTACAAATCTACAAACATAAAGATCGTTTTATAGTAGTCGCAGAGAGCAAACGCAAGTGTCACGAAATTGATAAATTGCATCTATCAAATCACTCAATCGCAACACGATTGGTCACTTTCGCGAGATCTGTGACTGCAATTGCATTTTGCACTATCATAAAACGACTTTATAATAACTCGTTTTGCAGAATACGTGTTTGTTTGCCAAAGTTTTCAATAGAACACAAAACAAGTAAAACTTTTATAAGTTTTAGTGAAGAATTCAAAAAGTGAATATTTTGTTGCATTTGTTGTGTACTATTACATTATAATGTAATACATTATGTAGTATTCCATTTTAATATATTACAATTTATATTGTGTTGTATTCAATTGTGATATACAGGGTCCGCCACTTAAATCCGGACAAATTTGAATTTGACATTCCCATCATATTAGAATGCAGCAGTAGGTGCCATATGACCTAAAGATAGGTTAGAGACGTCGATAAGACATTAATAATCTTAAAATGGCCGAG